GCGGAGCCTCGACATCCTAAAGGTCAGGAGGGCGGTGTAGTGGGCAGTGGGTCTACCCGGTCCCTTCGTGAATACATCAGACTGTGCTGTCGCCTCTGCTTGGAAGGTCCCTGCAACCTGGCCCTGTCCTCTTGGCTGATTTCCAGCCGTGATGTTTTCTCTTCGGGATGGCTACACACAGGGGTGGCTTTAGTTTCCAGTCATGCTATTGTGGAAATGTCAAGTTGTGACAGGTCGAGGGGAGGGTCTCAGTGCCCTCTGGTGTAAGAGGAGGGTGAGTGCTGCCCTGTGCACATTCCTGAGGCACACATACACAAAACACCCTTCCACTTCGTCCTGTCCCCAGGGGAAGGTCATGGCCTCCATGTTCTACGAGGTGAGCACCCGCACCAGCAGCTCCTTTGCAGCAGCCATGGCCCGGCTTGGGGGTGCTGTTCTCAGCTTCTCAGAAGCCACGTCCTCCGTCCAGAAGGGCGAGTCCCTCGCAGACTCGGTGCAGACTATGAGTTGCTATGCCGACGTCGTTGTGCTCCGGCACCCTCAGCCTGGGGCTGTGGAGGTGAGGTGGGGTGGCTAAGGCTGGACCAAGGAACATCGTGTCCCTTCCTGCCCACATGTCCTGTGCCCACAAGTCTAAGGTTGGGTTGGACGGGTGAAGGGACCTAGGAAATGGAGAAGGCGGGATTCTCCACATGGCTCCTGTCTTCCCAGCTGGCGGCCAAGCACTGCCGCAGACCAGTGATCAATGCTGGGGATGGGGTTGGAGAGCACCCTACTCAGGCCCTGCTAGACATCTTCACCATCCGAGAAGAGCTGGGGACTGTCAACGGCATGACGGTGAGGGCGCTGGGAGTTCTGGGGGGCGGGGGAGGCAGTCCAGGAGTGGTGTCCCTAGTCCTGAGGGCCAAGATTTTGAGCTGACGGGATGGGTGCCTGCTGTGAGTCTGTCTGGTGACTTCTGCCTCCTTTAGATCACCATGGTAGGTGACCTGAAGCATGGACGTACAGTGCACTCCCTGGCCTGCCTGCTCACCCAGTACCGTGTGAGCCTACGCTATGTGGCACCTCCCAGCCTGCGCATGCCAGCCAGCGTCCGGGACTTTGTGGCTTCCCGGGGCACCAAACAGGTGAGCTCCTGGTGGCTTATCACATCCTGGGGGCTGAGGGGAGGGTGGTGAGAACTCAGTACTGACTCATGGGCTCCCTCTCCAGGAGGAGTTTGAGAGCATCGAGGAGGCCCTGCCTGACACCGACGTGCTGTACATGACTCGCATCCAGAAAGAACGATTTGGCTCTGCCCAAGAATACGAAGCTGTGAGCATAAGGCTTATGTCAGAGGCCCGGGGCTGGGCTGTAGAGCATCCATAGAAGAGGGCGGGAAGGCTGGGCATGCGCCGGAGCTGCACCACTAGGTTCCAGACCCCTCGGTTGCCCCAGCTGTGGCCGCCTCTGTCCTGAACCTAATGGGGACCCTGCCTACCTTGCAGTGCTTTGGTCAGTTCATCCTCACTCCCCACATCATGACCCGAGCCAAGAAAAAGATGGTGGTGATGCACCCGATGCCGCGTGTCAATGAGATAAGGTGATATGGCCCTGCTGTGCAGGAGCCCTCGCGTGCCCACCGGGACAGGCTCTCTGGGAGCTGGGTGGTAACGCTCCCCTTCTCTTGCAGCGTGGAGGTGGACTCGGACCCCCGTGCGGCCTACTTCCGCCAAGCTGAGAACGGCATGTACATCCGCATGGCTCTGCTGGCCACTGTGCTCGGCCGTTTCTAGGGCCAGGCCTCCTCCGTTGTCTCTTCAGGCCCAGCTGCTGGGCAAGGAATCCCAATGCCCCCTACGGGGGTAGCACACTTAGCAGATGTCCAGGGGCATCCAGACAGCCCGAGCATATAAATGTACAGACCGAGACCACACTTTAGGCCCCAGACTAGAATATTCTCTGGCTTCCTGGGGTGTAGTCTTTAATACTGGGAGCCCCTCTGCCTCATCTCCGTTCTTACTCAAATCTGTACAGTTACTTTTCTACTGACTATAATAAATAGCCAAACAGTCCCTGGTTCCTCATGAGCGCCGTGGGCCGGCAGAGGAAGTCTGTGGTGGGATGAGAGACCCCCACTGGGCTCTGGGGCTTGGGCTGACACGTGGTGCTCAAGTTATGTGTTTGCTGGACATCAAAGCTCCCCTAGAGACTCTGGCTTGTGTCCAGCCTACTTGGTGTTAAGTCGCAATCCAAGCCCTCTGAGCAGTGGGGCTTGGCCTTCTAGGAGAACACCCAGGTCCTGGAGAAGGGAGGCTGTGCACTGGGCTGTAGCTGCCGAGATCCACTGTCCTCCAGACACTGACTCCTTCCTGACTAGCCCTGGCCTTCAGTGGCCTGGGTTGCCGTCATACCCCAGAACCTCACCCTGGGGTTCTCCAGTTGTCATCAGTATAGGGAACCCCTCTTACTATCTCTGGGGACCACTGCCTAATGCCATGGAGAGCTGAGCAGCCTTTGGCGTGGGGCCCTGGGTAGGTGCTAAGGGGGAGTAGCTCTTGTGGCTGCAGGTGAAGGCTGTGAGCTGCCGTTCTGGTCCATGAACTTGAACAACAGACTTGACTTGGCACGCCCTGGGCATAAAGCTCCATGTTCCCTGGGAGCATAGAAGATAATCAACTCACTCCACTTATTTGTTTTCTGTGTTTTGAAACAAAGCCAGGCATGTTTGGAATTGCTTGATAGCCCCAGCTGCCCTCGCTCCCAAGTCTGGGGTTGGAAGCCTGTACCATCACATCTGGCCTTCCTTTGATTTCCAGTTTTAGGTTAATAGAAAGACATGCCATGGTTTCTATAGATTGACCTTCCACACATCAGCTCCAGTGGTCCAGACTACCCGGTCTCCACTCAGCGGTGCACTTTGCAGCAAGGGGAAGGAATCGCCTTTTTAAAGGTGGCACCAAAACTTGATGCCCATTTCCCTTCAGTCTTTCAGCCTTTCCGCCTTTCTCAGCTGTGCAGACTGGCTTGGAGAAGTTGGCGGGTAGCTTGTGAGACTGCTCACAGCCTGCTTGGTTTCAAATGCGTCTTTCTATTAGGAACTCGTCATTTCTGGCTTTTAGGCCACATATATCACATAGCTGGAACCAGTTTGCAGAGATCGAGACTCACAAAGGCTTGGTGGGCAGGCCTGGAAGTGGGTGAAAATCTCACATACACCACAACCTGGCAGAGCAATGAAAATGGCCTGCCTGACATGCAGCGCGAGCCAGGCTTGGCAAAGGGTTCCTGCCTAGTGGGTAAAGTTGAGAGACCACAGCAGGCTGTGAGATTTGTATTTCAGTTCTGAAGAAACAGGGTCATAGCCTGGGTGCTATCTGAGGAGCAGCTGGGGTGAGGGGGCTGAAACAGCCGGGCCTGCTAATAGGCGAGTCCCTTCCAGTCTTGAAAACCCAGCCCCCTCAGCTATCACTCCTCGAACTGGGGGTGGGCTGGATGGGCTGATGTACGGAATTCCTTTCCAGTACTTCTCTGCTGAGATTGCAAGTGTAAGCCTGGAGACCATTACCCGCCGCAGAGGCTCGCAGAACTTGGAGCCGTCCCTGTGTGGAGGCTGCACTTGCTGCCAAGTGGCATGCACGATCTCCTCAGTTGCTAAGTGGTGGGAGGTGTTCCTGCCCTGCTTGCTTTGGCTCTCCTAATCATAACACAGCTCTAAATTGAATAAACTTCACTACAACCAGAAGTGAGGTCTTATACTGGGAAATAAAATGAAAGTAGCTATTAGCAAAGAAAACATTTCAATAAAGTCCGCCATGTCTGACTGAGCCTTTCTCCACCCGGTGAGAAACCACCTTGAGTGTGCCGTGTGATTCTCATTGACTGCCAGAACTCAATTTCCTGGCCTCAATACCCAAGACGTTTGACCTATTTTTTCCGGTAATGGCTCTCGTGTGTCAGGAGCAGACCTACGCACTTTGCAGCTGCTAGCATTTCTCCAGGTATTTTGGATGAATCCTTCAAATCTATTCCTCCACCTGTCATTTACCTCCAACTCTTTATCCGGAAAATGTCCTGAAAGTCAGCAGCCCTGTGGAGCTCTGCATCCAACCCCCAGCCAGCCATGAGGCATGTCAGAGCCCGAGCTGTGAAGGGCAGAGTTTGAAGTTCCCTGTGTCGAACTGGCAGGAGTCTGACCCTGTAGTACTGTCCCAGAGATAGCTGAGCTTTGTGGGGCAGGCTGGTGGCAGCACCGGAGGGGATGGAGAAGCGCTGTCCCACTGGCAGGTGGGATCAGGAGCTTGCAGCAAGCTTAGATGGTAAGCTGAGATGGTGGTACGGGCTGGTCTGTTAGCGGAAGAGGCTGAGGCAGAAGGATCATGAGTTCAAGGACACTTTTGGTTCCACCTAAAGTAGCCATCTATAAATGGTAGCACCTTTTTTTAAATATTTATTTATTATGTATACAATGTTCTGTCTCTGTGTATGCCTGAAGGCCAGAAAAAGGCATCAGACCTCATTACAGATGGTTGTGAGCTACCATGTGGTTGCTGGGAATTGAACTCAGAACCTTTGGAAGAGCAGGCAATGCTCTTAACCACTGAGCCGTCTCTCCAGCCCCTAATGGTCCCACCTTTAATCCCAGCCCTCCGGGAGACAAGCGATGGATCTCTGTGAGTCTGAGGTCAGTCTGGTCTACATGAGGAGCTCCAGGACAGCCAGGGCTACACAGTGAGACCCTGTCTCCCTGGCTGGCAGGGACCTTGAAACGCCATAGAATTGTGGCTATAAACATGGCTACAGCCTGTATCTTTGCCATGAGGCTGGAAAGCTAAGGAATGGACTGGATCTACCTGGCAAAGCCACGGCTTTCATCCTACTCATATTGCTCAGTAATTTAAAGGCTCGTGTGGTCAGAAAAAGAGAGATATACAGTAAAGAGATTCAAAGACAAAGAAAATTTTAAATGATTTACAGTGTGTTGAAAATAATATGCAGACTAAAAGTTAAAATTCTTAAAGTAAAAAAGTAAGAAAAAGAGAAGTTGTGTGTGGTAGTACACGCCTTTAATCCCTACACTTGGGAGGCAGAGGGAGATTGACCTCTGTGACTTCAAGGTGTGGTAGCACACACCTTTAATCCCAGTGCCTAGAAGGCAGAGACAAACAGATCTCTGTGAGTTCAAGGTGTGGTAGCAAACACCTTTAATCCCAATGCCTGGGAGGCAGAGACAGGCGGATCTCTGAGAGTTCAAGGACAGCCTGGTCTACAGAGTTATTCCAGGACAGAGATACAGAGAATATAAAATGAAAGTAAAAATAAACTTAATAGAGGTTAAAATAAAGCTCACAAAGATGGAAAATACACAGAGAATCTTGATACTGTATGCTATTATGCTCTCTTTGAATTGTTTGAATGCTGAGGAAGGAGCAACAGATGCTAAAAGATATTTGTTTATAAATGCTGCTGAACTAATCCAACGTAGAGATTTTGATGCCTTGACTTTGAAATTTGGATCTAAGGACATGATACTTTGGAAAGGAGTTTCTTATTTTGTTTTCACAGAGGATGAGACCCTGTTCATTTCTTCTATTCCGATATGGTATGATGGACCACGCCCTCCTGAACGGTTGCTGTGAATACCTTCAGAAAATTGCTTCGCTCAACTGCCAACTGAGATGAAACTAGCACACAGGTTATACCATGAAAGACCTAATTAACGACGCCCCCATTCAGCAGGAAGCAGTTTGGAGAGAAAAAACTGCGCCCATGTTCCCAAATATTGTTTATAAATGTTCTTTTACATTTAAAGGGGGAGATGATATAGGTATGAATAATTTACATTGATATGGATTTTGCTTTAGTGATTTAAATTTAAGGTTAATTTTGTAATGTATATAGGTTGTTAATGAATAATCATTAATAATAGTTAAGTTTGTAGTCATGTTAGTTAAGATTTTCTAGATGTGCATAGATATATTTTAGATAGGCATTCTTCATATTTTTCAAAGATTATAGAATATGGCATTTTAAATGTTTTAATAACTTAGGACTTTTCATGACAATGAGACACTCTGCTCCTGGCAGCACCAATCTACTTCAAGAGGAAGATGGGCATCGAAGAGGATCCTTATGGAGTTTGATAGCCATTTGGGCAAGAAACTGCTCTTGCCTGGACTATTGCATAAACTGGACACAGAGAACCCGCAGAGAGAGGACTGCTGAACTTGCCTAAAGGTGAGATGATCTTTCGGGGTTCCTGATTCATGAAAGAGTCTGCAAGACATTCTTCAGGACAAGCAGATAGTGACTGCCTTTGAAATTTCCTGCTTTGTGGAAATGTCTGCTGGAAACTATGGGCCTGTAGGCCGAAGATGGATGCCCCAACGGTACAGAGGAACTTTGGGTGACTGTCCAGGCAGCGAGATGTCTCTGTCATTTCTAGAGCTTTGGATTTCTTGTTTGCTTAGGTAATATTGTATCTTTCTGGACTCTTTGATGGAGTTAAGAATAGTTAGCTATAGTTATAGTTTTCCTTAGTTATGATATAGATTATTGTAATTTTTACTTGATAACTGTTTTGTCATGTGTAATTTTGCTATGTTAAGTTAAAGCCTTCTTTTTTTTTGTTTAAACAGAAAAAGGGGAAATGATGGGGGAAGGTAATTGGTTAATTATAATAAACCAACTGCTTGGCCTCATAATTTAGAACATAGGTGGGTGGAATAAACAGAATAGAATGCTGGGCGGAAGAGGAAGTGAGGTCAGACTCTGCTCTGCTTCCAGATGGACCGAACAGCTCTGCTCTCTGGAGCAGAGACACCATGATGGACGGAGGCTAGAATCTTCCCGGTAAGCGCACCTTGGGGTGCTTACACACATTATTAGAAATGGGCTAGTCCAGGTGCGAGAATTAGCTGTAAGGGTTAGAGTTCATGGGCCAAGCAGTTCTTAAATGAATACAGTTTGTGTGTTGTTATTTCGGGCATAAGCTAGCCAAGCGGCCGGGGTGTTGGGGACGCAGCCCCGCCACTCCTTATTTCAACATGTGGGCATTTTGTACTTACATGCACAGATGTATGTGTGTAATTTAAAATAAAATATTTGGATCTGGAGAGAATTCTTGAGTGTTTGGTGGTTACGAGTACACATTCCTCTTCCAGAGGACCAGCACTGGATTCCCAGCATCCAAATAAGTCATCTCACAACTGCCTGTAACTCTAGTTCCAGGGGATTGTCCAGGGTCACCCACACATGTGATATACATTCAGACACACACACACATACATATGATTTTTTTAAAAATTTAAGAAATGGCATGGATGGGGCTGGGAAGATAACTGAGACAGAAAAGTGCTTGTCCTGCAAACATGAGGACCCAAGTTCAATCCCCAGAACACATGTTTTTTTTTTTGTTTTTTTTTTTTTTTTTTTTGAGCCAGGGTCTCACTGTGTAGCTCTGACTGTCCTGGAATTCACTCTGTAGACCAGGCTGGCCTCAAACTCACAGAAATCTGTCTGCCTCTGCCTCCCAAGTGCTGGGATTAAAGGCCTGCACCATCACCGCCCAGCTAAAGTCTGAATCTTAAATTGTGGGAAAAGAACTGAGAAGAAAGCCTTGCACGACGTGGCACCAGTGTGGCTGGATGGGAGGTGGCATCAGATCCTGGTCTAGGCCAGAAGTGAGGGCTGACCTATTGCCAGTTGGTGTTTTATGGTGGGAAGGTGGGTACAGAGCCTCACCTAGTTACATCAACTGCAGAAAGACCAAGATAAAAGAAGTACAGGAACTGCAACCTCAGATTGCCTAGGGATGGCTGAGAGAACGACAGGAAAACCCAAAGAGACTGATTAGTCACTAGACCGGTGTCAAGGGGAAGCAGGGTTCAGAATAGGCTTAAGGAAAGGAATGTTACCCACCAAGGAGGGGCCTCCCAGAGAGTGGGGTGGTTGGGGTGTGGTCAGCAAGTAACAAAGTGGCTTATTGGCCCAGCGGTGGGAGATGGGGACAAAAGGGACACTGATTGGCTGAGTATTGTCCGGACAGCTGGGAATGGGCCAATGGCTCCCATCCATTCCTTCACCTGCAGTCCCCGAGCTGTGTGCTAGGAGCCAGACTGGGAGCTTCCTTCCGGGACTCAGCCACCCAGGGCAGCCTCCCCACCAGCACCTCCCAGAAGTCTTGAGTGGTCCAGGAAGTAGGTGGAGGGAGAGGAAGCAGGGCGATCTTCAGGCACTGCAGGGTCACGGGAAAATGAATTCGCTGCTGTGGGCTCTGAAGTTGCTGGCTTGGGGAAGTTTCACTGTGCTTTTTCCCCTGGGTTTGGTCCCTTTTGCTTCTCCCTGTGTTTGTGGCCACAGTTCTTTTTTAACTTGGCGCCTCATTGTTGGGCTTAAGGAAACAGAACGGGACTGAGTGTTGGGACTGTTTGGGTGAGGTCCCTCGGCGGGAAAGTTCCCAGCCTGGCCGCTGCTTGGCTTCAAGGTGAGGATGAGACTGACCCAGAATGGCACAGGAGCCCTCGGGTGTACCCCAACCCTCCCTCCCCATCACTTCCTCTCCTCTGGTCAACAGGATGCAGTTTATGGGATCTTGGGTGCCCACTGCTGCCTCTGTAGTCTCAGGCTTTGCCCCAGCCAGGCCTGCATGTTGTCAGCACCCCTTTGGAAAATGGTGTTGATGGAGCGGACTTGGGGCTCAGGTCGGAGACAGTAAGGCCTGCCGAACTGGGTGAAGGGAGGCTGAAGAGTTGAGAGTGAAGGGAGAGGTAAGAGGACCTGCCAGGAACAGGAACAGCAGCATTGGGTTTTTCCATCCCACTCCGCCCTGAGATTCCCTTCAAGTCTGGCTGCTCGGCTGCTGTCATAGCACCAGCCGCGCGAGGGCGCTGCTGCCCCGACTGTCTGGCTCCTGGGTGACAGCTAGCCATGCCCCCTTCAGACTGGTCTGTAGTGAAGCTCGGGAGAGCGGCTGGGGGTGGATAAGGGCTTTATGAGCGGACCATCCATCCTGTGCTTCCTCTTGAGCCTGACAGACCATCCCGCCCTGCAGAGCCTTAGCCTGTGGCTCTCATACGCGGTACACTCAGGCTTTTGACTTCTCATTGAGAAGGGCGGGAACTCTTTCTGCACTGGTGTTTCAGGCCCGACCTGTGAAACACAAGCCTCTTAGGTCCCCCAGCCTCAGCCTCCCTTAGTCTCCAGCCTTTCTTTTGAAGACTTCAGCCGTACTTTCACAAGACAAGCCCAGCCCCCAGCCTGTCCCGTCATCCTTGCTAGGCTTCCATTCTTCCGGCCCCTCTCTGGCTGGCAGCCCCCCCCCCCCCACTTCCCCAGTCATTCAGCTGCCTAGGGATGCCAGGATCCTGATAGACAGACGGGTCCTCCTCTCGCCTGTGTTCTCGCTAGCTAGCCTCTCCCAATCACTCCTATTTTAGCTCCCTCGCCTCACTGCCATTGTGTATTTTATCAGCAGAGACCTGTACCTGGGGGGAAGGGACTTCTAGATAAGCAAGTGGGCTGGGGATAATAGGAAGGGGCAATGGCTGCTCTGCAGATAAGGGTTTCCTGGGCTCCCTTGGGATCGAGTGCCAATGGATGGTGGGGAATGAATGCCCTGGGTTTTGTTGTTGTTGTTTTGGGGTTTTATTTATTTGTTTTTTAAGACAGGATTCCTCTGTGCAGCCCTGGCTATCCTGGAATTCACTCTGTAGACTAAGCTGGCCTCGATCTGCCTGCTTCTGCCTCCTGAGTGCTGGGATTAAAGGTGTGCGCCACCACCACCCCCCGGCTGAGAATGCTCTGGAAACTGGCTTCTTGGAGTCTCTATCCATGACAGTTGGTGACTGAAGGAGAATAGAGAGGCAGAGGAAATAGGTTCCTGGCTCCAGGCAGTCAAAACTAAGTTTAAATCTTAGCTCTGAAAGCCACCGAGTTGTGTGACCAGCTCAGACTCAGTTTCCCGATCTGTAGCATGCAAATACTGCTACTGACTTTAGTCCTCCTGTCTCTGCCGTCTCTGCCAGGTGCCAGGTCACTTTAATCCTGCTTCCTGGCTTTTACCCCAAAGCTATGAACCTTTTTGTACGTATACCAGGCATGCTTAAACTAGGTGTCCGGGAATCCTTATGTCATCGCTGGGAAAGCTGGAATGCAGGAAGTCACCAGAATTTGCAGGTGACGGCAGAACTGGCCCTAGAGCCCCAGGTCTGCAAGCACCAGGGTAGCAGGTGGGTGGGACAGGAGGCGAGGCTGTGCTCCTGCCCCAGCATTGCCCAGGTCACAGGCAGATGACTCCAGCAAGTCCTTTCAGACCCGTGTGTGGAGTGCCGGCTGCTGGCCAGCCTGGGTATATGGTCTCTTCGCGTCCTGAGCATTTGGCTCCCTCTCTGAATCCCTCTCCCATCTTAGGCGGCAGCAGATTAAAGCTGTCCAGAGGGTGATCATTTCAACCTCTTCCCTAGTCTCCATTCCTCTCCATTTCCCCATCGTCCCCGCCCCCATCCTGTCACTTGGGGCCTGCAATCAATGAGACGGAAAATGAGAAAGTGTCAGGAGCTAGCAAAGCGTGGAGAGCAGCTGGGGTAGCCCCTGCAGCGGGCCTGAGTGGGTGGACCCCAGCCCTTCACCCCAGCTCTGGTCCCAAGCCAGCCACTGCTGCCATCCGCTCAGTGCCCAGTGGGGCCAGGCTCCCAGCTGATGTCAGTGAGGAAGTCTACTGTCAACATGTCCAAAAGCCTCGTCTTGAAAAATGTCATGA